TTTCATCTGATCTCACGTCTATGCTCCTCTGGGGCTGGACTAGAATACTACAGGAAAAATCTGTAAAAAAAAATGTGTTTCTCTGTAAAATTGCTGTAAATGTATGTTTTTCGCACTTATTTTACCTTAATTTTAAAGTTTTTTGTCATTTGAGCTTATTTTTACGTTGTTTTATTTTTTTTCAGTGTGTATATCGGCTGGTAACGGCCTGTCAATCAGTTAACCCCGCCCTAAATCATCCTCTGCCTTATTGTCTATTATTTGGTCTCAATGGCCCAAAATTGACTAAATGAACGTCCTGCTGAATTGAAGAAGACTTGAAAGTAGAGATTGAGAAGTGGAGTCATGTTCTCATCTCTATACTATACTATACAGTGGGAGTGAATGCAAAGTCTAATCCACTTCTGCATTGGCTTCTGTGTCTGAACAGCCTGCTCATGTTATCAGTAGAATGTTGTAACCCAATAAAAAAACGTACAAATTTGCAAACTTACACAGGCTATACATTACCAGTCAGTTTGGAGACACATCCTCATTCACCTGTACTGTAAAGTACAAAGCCTATGAGAGCAGTGACGACCCGCATGAGCTTTGCTTAGTTTACATTCACCCACAGAATATATAAGGTGTCAGACCACTAGAAGTATTCGCCAGCACTTTCTATCTATTCCAGTTGCATTCTTTTTGACGCCAGGTGCTTTGTCATTTTTGTTTTGTCACGCTTGATGTTTATTCAGATTGTCGCCTTTTGTTTTTTGTATTTCCTCTTAGAATGTCTGCTGTCTGCCGGTACTTTTAAAAGAAAGTGCTCTTGTTTCTCTGCGCGTTAGTCGTGTTAGCCAGTTAGCCGTGTTACCCAACAGCTCACTGCTGCTCCGCTTGTTCTTTGTTGACAGTTTTATTTTTCTCTAAAATGACTAACTGGCTGTTGATCTTGATTGTTGGTGGTGAAACTCTGCCCCCCTTCTGTTTGGAGCGTGTGACAAGATCTGCAATGCTATTCGTTTTGTATACAGTGTCCATTTGTATATTTTATATTTTTACTTATTTTATTTGTTTACCTGTGTTCCTTTCTGGAATTAATAAAGTAACTGTCTATCTTTCTACGTTCATATAAAGGTGTCAAAGTACCAGAAACAGTTCTCGAATCTGCCAAAACAAAAGCAGATGTTGACGCGTTGTCTTTCACTGGCAAACTTCCTCCCAAAGACGTCTGAACTAAGGAGAGAAGCTCCCGACTGGAAATGGTCGCTTCGCTTGGTGAGTCTCCTACCTTAGGAGAATCGATTCCTCTGACCTTGTTGGAATCAAAGGCAGTGGTCCCGTGCAACCCCCCCCCCCCCCCCCCGCTCCCTTTCGAATGGAGCTTCACACGCACACGGCGCTAACTGTGGTAACGAGGACGCGGGATCGATAGTCTATGATGAGCCTCTAAACCGCGCCGTTAGGAGAAGGGATGGGAGGGAAGATTGGGTCAGACTTTCAAATCATGCTAATGATCACAAGAAATACTGGCGATAGTCACAACACACAAATGACTAACTTAAGTGTGATCTTGGCCAGGGCACCCACACACAAACACGCACACACAGACACACACACACACAGAACCACATGGGTGACTTGTCAACGTTTACTCGCAGAATCACCTCTCATCACTAATCACCGGCTCAGCAGAAACTCCAGCAACAAATCCCTCTGTTTTTTTTTTTTTTCATTTTTAATCATTTATAAGACCTAAACCAATCTTTGCAATTTCAAAAAAAAAAAAAATCTCTTTTAATTATCGTGAAACGTATTAACGGCAAATATGAATACGCAGAGCCCTATGGATTCAGTGTACATGCCGGAGAGTGATTATGGACCTCCAAAATGTCCTCCCAGTGAGATGTGAGGCAAAGGAAGACAAACACTGCCCTCTTCAGCCTCCCGGCAACAGAACCTGATGGCATCTCAAAAACGTCCGTCTGATTGTCCTCTCTCTCCGTCCCCCCCCCCTCTGACTCTTGTCTCTCATTTTCCCCTGATGTGTTTTAATGTTTTCCTCTTCATCTCATCTCATCGCAACACGCGCTATCTCTCCTTAGATTAGAGAAAATGTCTTTAGATGAAGCCGATTTATTTTATTTTAAGGGATGGAGGAGGTTTTTAATCAAAGTTGAGACGGGGGTGAAACTTCTCAAAGGGTAAAAGAGGGGGGCAGAGTGGAAAGCCATGGTGCAGTTTTTCAAGGTCATCCGTGGTTAATTATCCCTCGGACACACACAAAAACAAACACACACTTTGTGCATGATTCTGGAGACACAAAACCGTTCCTGAATTCCTCTTTCTGTGGGGATGAGCGGAGACTCGGCCCTTGAAGTCACTTTAAGTGGATTCTTTTCCTACTATGATTCTATTTTTTTTTTCAAATTGTCCTCATTAAAAGATAATGTGACCTCTTGTATCTAAATGTGTTAACAGCAGCAAGTTACGGATGCGGTCTGGAGCCAGGGATGGTTTTAACACTTTAGCTCTCTGTTGTATACCATCTTTTGAACTTATATTTTGACATTTTTAAAATTTTCAGCGGCACTTGTTTCGCTTTGCAAAGTCACTTTTCATGATACTCCTCGTGGTGGAAATAAGCCGCCGATTGGTCCAACAGCAGCGGTTGACTGAAAGGACAAGATGAGGACAGGTCGAGGTCCTGCGGCTGCTGATAGCGCTGACGAGCTGGAGGAGAGGAAAAGCACATCTGCACACACACACACACACACACACACACACACTGCTAATCCTCGCGTGGTGACAGTGTGTAGAGCAACCACTAGGATGCACTACAGTTTAGTCTATCGCTCTGAGGGACAAAGGTTGGTCGTCTAGCAAGAGGCTAAAGACCAGCTGATCCTAAAGACGTTCAATGTGTCTGTGTCTTACATGGAGACATATTCATTATTTTATTATCACATTTTATTATTATCATTAGCATCATTATCAAAAGCTTCAATCTGTTTCAAAATACAGGACACACTGACTGCACCGACTGCAGATACATGACGTGATCAGAGGGAAGGATATTAACTATATTGCGCTGTTAATAGTCGTGGTGGCGTGACGTTGGAAAACACATTCCTTTTTTCTTGTGTAATGGTTTGGTTTCCGCTGCAGGTTCATCGGGTTAATTGTGCACGTAACCTCTGCGCCATGTTCTCATATATTCTCATATGTAAGTACAAATGTAAGAAAGAAGAGGAGAGAAAATACCTTTTATTATTCTCCTTGGGGAAATTACTCTCTGCTTCTGAAATGGACTCAAATACTTGAGTCCATCAGGCGACATATGCTGATATATATTTATCGTTTAAGTTTAAAGAATGTGCTCTCAGCCACAGTTCTATTGAAATTGTTTTGCATATTGGAGCATTTCTTTTTAGCTGAACAGACTGTATAGTCACAGGTGGTGTAGGACCATCCGTACATGTCAGGTGTATGTGAGATTTCACATCCGTACGCTGTTTCCCACCACTGGTGTCTTCAGGGTGACGGTTTAACCAGCTCATTTAAACCTGGTGTAAAGTCAGGGACAATCAGACAATCAGACTCTCTTACTAGTATTCCCATGTGTCCATAGTGAGACATTTCTCCGTACCGGCCAGGAAGAAATCCTCCTTAACGGGATTCGAATTCAAACATCTGGACTTAAAGAGCAGATACCGTTGTTTCCGGCACATTGTATTTCCATTGAACGACGAAAACGCATGTTGGCGGAATCCAAGTTGAAACGATTAGTTGTCCAGAGGGAATTTGCAAGAACAGACATAAACCTTGACATAACGTAAGGGTGTCCTAAACCGGGCAGTTTTATGCTGACTATCCAGTAAAACTATTGATAAAAATGATCTTGTGATGTATTCAGGTGATCTGAAAATATATATACACATATAATATATATATATATTCATGAGATTTGACATATAGATGTGTTGACATGTATGAATTAACATCACTGATGACTGGAAACAGGGTAAATCTGCATATCTCCAGGTTGGGGCAATGCTAGCTTTCGCTGCCCGGGTTAAGACACCGTTACGTTCCCATGTGCAAAGAATGTGGAATGTATAATTTCAGAACACTGGAATGTATTTTGCCAATATCGGCATTGCTGTCGGTTGGGCGGGTCGACAAGGCTTACCGCTTCTCAGCCTGCTGAAGCATCATATTAGCTTTGGCTAAACTTAGTAATGTCATTTTGCCCAGGATGAAAGTTGTGTATTTCACCTTCCATATCTTACCTTGGAAGAACTTTGAGCGCTTCATTCGAGGCCGTGTTTGCGAAACGAGCATTTCTTGCGATGCACATTTTGCATCAATGGTAACTTTAATATGATATCCAACAACTTATCTCCCAACTTGTACTTTTCTTTACCAGTGACAGGTAAAGATTGATATTTTAAGTGCCTGTCAGCATTTTGCTTGACCTTTTTCCTTCTGTTCGTATTAGTGGCATGTGACTTAATGGAAGACAACGGTAGATCGTGTCAGTAAATAACACAAAGCTACGCTGCCAAACCCTAAGGCTTCACTAAACAATTGCAAACAGATTGGATCAAGCAAAAGGTAAAGAAAACACACTTTTAGTGGCTGTAGATTGATGTTGAGGAGTTACTGCAACCTGTCTAGAGTTCAAATGGAAGTTGAATACCCAAGTAGCCCTTCATATGCGTTTGTAGAAGAAAGTCTTTGTGATTTAATAAAAGTTTCACCGCTGAAACTAAACAGATAAACTAAAAATCAAACCTTCTTATTAACTGTAGCAGTGGCGAGTCCACCTTTGAGAATATGCCACAGTCCAGTGGAGCAGAAGTGGAATTCCATGTGTGCAATTACTGAACAACGGGGTGCAAAATAAGTATTTGAGCTGTAAAGAATGAGGGGCGAGGTGGGTGGGGGGTCGCTCAATGGAGTGAGCGAAAAGACAGCCGGGGGGTGAAAAGTACACGACTCATGACTCAAATCCCTCGTGTTTTTTCTCTCTGTTTGCTTTATTCTAAAAGAAACAGACAGGGGTATACTGCAGAGGAGATGATACACAACATCGAGGGTGGTAAATATTAGAGAGATGAACGCCGTTGTAAATAATGCAGGCTTGACCGCTCAGCGTTCCTTAGTACAGGAGACAACACACAGTACAGTACATCCCGGAGTCGATAACGCGACGACTCTGTCGTGTCATTCACGCAAAATCATATTGGCACTTAACGAAAAGAAGAAAAAAAAAATCACTGGGTATATCCTCAATCCAGGCTGAATGGAGACAGGCACACAGCTTTAATACAAACAGTGGCACACAAGGCACTACGCTTCAGATCTATCGTGTGTCTGTTGTTTCATAAGTGGTACTGCAGAGTAGCTTCACATTCATTTCCAGAAGTTCGACAATAGATTAAAAAAAAAAAAGGCAAACGGAACCGCTGGCAGGGGGGGAACTAAGGACGCACACGTCCCTCAAGATGAAGAATCCATTAAGTCAGAAACAGACACGTGCACAAACATGTGTTATAAGGCACTGTAGTAAGACATTATATATGTAGTAAAAAAAAGAAGGACAGGAGTAGGTGGTATATACACCCAGGTATTTTAACATGTTACAGAAAACATACCCTGAAGGACTGTCTCTCCCAGAGTCAGCAAAACAGACAAGACCAGGATATCTACAAAAAAAACCTCTAAAAACTCCAAAAGATGTCTTCTACGTTCTTTCTTTTTAACAACAAAACTCTTAAAAACTCTCAATTTAAGTTTCCGCAATGTGCCTGGTGTCAATAACTTCTTTCTTTAGCTCGGTCTGTGTCTGTTTTGACGTCCTCAGGGAGAGTTTTTTTGTCTGTAGACAGAATCTAAACCACGGTAAGGCCAGAAGACTCTCCCAAACTACAAGTACTGCTCCCTTTTCTCTGGTGGGGTACTTTTAACATTTGGTCTGCAATTCAAAAGGGAAAAAGAACACGTTTCAGTCAAGGTACAGTCACAGCGCACACAAAGGTAAACCCTAAAGACACATGTTACACAAAAAAAACACCCGGAGGTCATAGGATATAAGAGAAATCATAAATCAGCGCGAAACAAAAACCACAGAAAGGGGTTTTAACTCATCGTTACTGTTTGGCCGACAGTGAGACACAGGAGAGGGCGTTGGAGGTGTGTGGAGGGTTCACACGGAAACAGAGGAGGCCACCGCAACTCTTAAATAAAAGGTCTTAATCATCGTCCTTTAGGAGTCCATATTTACAGAAAAGGCTCAACGTAGGGGACAGAAAACGGGAGACATCAATGCAGCTTGGTTCCCATTGAGGCGCAGATGTAGCAAATGAAGAGGGGGGCTATTCTAACTCAAGGTCTCAGAGAAAACGGGAGCGAGTGAAAGAAAGTAGGGGAGACAGAAGTCGGACAGTCGGGACAGTCCTCGGTAAAAAGGCAGGGAGTCTGATCAGTCGGGGAAACTAGTTTCACTCAACAACTCTGCCCTGAATTAGAGGAGAGAAGAAGACAGTGAGAGGAGAACAGGAGGAACAGAGGAAAAGGAGGGGAAAGAGGAGACACATCAGGACCGCTCAGATTCTTGCAGCAGATATGAAGATTTAGTTGGCAGAAGAAAAAGAGGATGGAAAGTCAATGAGAAGGAGCACGGGAGGTTACCAAAAGTAACCAACTCTACTAACTAGCCATGTAATTAACAATAATCATGGTGTCATTGGTTATGTTTTTAGTCTTAGACGGATTAAAGCTAGATTTTCCTGTTTCGGCTCTGAGCGATATGCTAAGCTAAACGTCAAGCTGCCCTTAGCTTCATATCTAACAGACAGATAAGAGAGTGGCATCCATATTCTGATCTAACTTGGGGCAAAAAAAAACCATGTACTATTTTTTGGGGGGTGTGTGGACATGTTTTTACAGTCCTTATCCAAAGTCAAGCTGCTAGTGACGCCTGCCCCCCTTTTTATTTAAAGCACCAGACATTTCCAATAGCCCTGCTGCCGCCCCCACGGGCCCCCAGAGCCCTCCACAGAGCCCTCCGCACAAAAGCAGCCCCGGAGAGGAGAGCCAGCCGGGGGGGGGGGGGGCGGAATAGTTTCTCAGAAAAGTTAATGGCTTTATTATCTGCGACAGTGATGACGACCGGCTCTTTTAGAAACACAAGCGGAAGCCCATTGATGTGGGAGCATCAAGCAGGGAACTCAAGAGCCAATCTAAGTGAGTTTTACAGGCCCCGGGGACACGTTTGAATAACGTTCCTGACATCTATTGTACTGTACCGTCTGTGGTTTGCAATAACACGTGTAGATCTACTGCAGTGGAGCTAAATACGACGTTCATACTAAGCTTAATGAAGCTATAGTGTCTTAACGCTTATGATCCCCAGTGAGGATAGTACCTGTGTGGCAACTACATTAATTAGCATGTATCTAATGTGTTAGTGGATGGAGCATTTTTAATGGTGGTGTGTTGACGAGAGGCTCCAATTTGCCCTGGTGTGTAGTCAAACAGTGGCATGAGCATTAACAGCATTTGTAGTCGAACTGAAAGACAACTTTACAACCGAATTAATCTCCACTTTTGCAGCTCAGGTTGTGTCTTCATGCACTCAGCAAGTTGTTGTAAAACGGAACTACGTGATAACCAGCTTCTTTTGAGGGTGAGAAAGCAAAATGGCCGCCTTAATGCTGCACACAGATAGTTACTCTGGTTAGTTTAATCACATGTAAGTTTCTCTTTATCAGGCCGTAGCAACGGAAATCATATCGTTCTGGAATAGTTTAACAATCAGGTGGGAGTTACAGATAATAACAAAAAACTTCAACGTTCAACACGTGTTCTCACTCCAAACTCTTCCGGTACCAATGTTCGGGCAGTGGGCTTCTAGGCACTGTTTAGTGAGACACCTGCCACTAGGCTTACTTGTTTGAAGAGCAAGAAATCCCACCAGAGGGGGGTTTGATGAACCCCAAAACACCCATGAGGGATTATTGTTTATTTGCCACGTGACACCAAATCAAGGAGAAGAGAAAAATACTCAACTTTTCTCTGGATTTATTCCATCAGTAAACAATGTAAAGATGTGGTCTCATTCTCTAGTTTCAAGTCTTCTTCAACAGAGCGTGATGATCATTTAGTAAATGATGATCCATTTAGAGTCCAATGGTATCAAGCAGGGTATGCCTTTGGGGGCAGAGCTACCTTGTGATTGACAGGTCGCTACCAGAGCCCTACTCAATGTCTCCACGTCACCCCTAACATGATCACTTTTGATCACTAGTTGCAAATAAAAAAGATGGTGACGGGCAAAATCTAAGATGAAGATGGCCCAAATATACAGTTTATTTTGGAAAACTTCCAAAACTTACGCTACGGGGGAAACTGTAGCATCGTAGCTTGAAGGGGAGGGCTGCTACCAAGCATCAGAATCGGAGAGAGAGAGAGTTGGGACTGAGAAGCTTTAACACAACAAACTTGTGGGCTGTTGTTTTACACAACGTAACTGCACCATATGGAGGCAAAGCATAGATGCAGCTCCAACCAGGAAGCATAGGACTTGCTAATAATGTTTACTTGTCCAGTATTTTTAGCTCCAGATCCATCTGTGCATCTGCTGTACCACCTTACATCATGCCTCCAGATGTTTAGATTCATTTCTTTTCCCTTTTTATTTTAGTGGTTGACTCATAGTGTCGTGATTTTGGGGATTAACGTTAAGATTGACGTTGCAGCACTAATTTCAAGTAAACTACAAAAAATATATTTAGGCATTCGAGACGTTTCCATTCGCAATTGCAAGCTTAGCATCATCATAGGAATGAGCTGGATGATTGACATGAGATATGTAGGTTATCTGCTCACAAATAGTTTAATAAAGTTTTTAGTGTAGTTTTTCTTGTCACCAAAATAAATCCCACCGGTAGATGAGGTGTTTGTGTTTGGGCTTGAGTACCTGTGTATGCCGTGTGTAAATGCTACATGATTGCATGTGTGTTTGATAGTCTTTTTGTTTTGTTTTATAATTTGAGAAAGCAGGGTCGGTGCCAAGCATGTCTGATGCTCTCTGTTTGGGGGACTGCTGGATGGAGGTGGGAGGAGAGGGTCGGGGGAGGGTGGGGGGGGTTACACGTACTCCCTGGCTGTAGAAGGCTGTGATTGGCGGTAATACTGCTGTCCTCGAATGTCTTCTTTAGAGCAGGAGCAGCACAGCAAGGAGCCGCCGAGCACCGTCAGACTGGCTGCCGCCCAGCCGACAAACAGGGCCGAGCCAAACTCATATCTGCGTAGGTTAGAGAGAGAGAGAGAGAGAGAGAGGATGCCTGCATCAGATCCGAGATTAAATCTGGGGAATTGGTACCACATAGTCGATTTAGAATGGATTCAATTGTCACTAGTAGCCCATCAACAATAGGAAAAGGGATAGCGGGTTATTTTATTGTAATATCAGCTATTGCATATCTAGCTTCAGATAAAATATGAGACCCCTTCATAGACGCCTTCCCTTTGAATTGGGGGGGGTAGATCACCGTGACTTGGTTCATTGAAAAGTAGCTGACGAGCCAAAATGGTGTGGCCACGCCTGCCCGCGGCGGTATGACTCAAATGGAATCGATGGTCTTGAGATGTTATTTGTTTAATCTGCCTCATATTTTGGGTTACTGAGAACAAATGGGAGTTTTGTTCCTGGGCTGAATTGTTCTTTGTACGAGAATGATTGAAGGTTGTGTTCACACGATGGTATTCAGCGCTCCATGGAACTAGATTGTGTCGCATTACTCCTGTGACAAAAAACATCAAATGGATTGATGGTCATTTGATTTGGTTAATTTATAGATTTTGTAAATAAACTGGCAGTATTTGCTCATCTGTTGTGTGCTGACTGCATGTGACAATTTTATTTTTTTCCAGCCAATATAAAAAACAGCATCTGTAAGCATTTCATGTATGCATGGCCAGGCTTTTGGAGCATTTTAGGCGGCTAAATAATAGCACAACAAGAAACACAGGCTCTTGAGTGTTTGGCAGTTTTGTCACATACCTGGCGTTGGGCGGTGTGTTTGGATTAAAGAACTGATAGGACACCTGAGTGGCGTACCAGGACACAGACACCAGCGTGCATAGACCTGCGGAGAGAGAACAGTCGCGTGAGCCTTGCAAGCATTCACTGCAGCGACAACAGCACAGTGGAGAACACTCATTTAGTCAATCCCACCACCACCACCACCACCACCCCGGGCGTTGGGTTTATGTTTGTGTTCAGACTAATGCCTCTAAAATGACCACTTCCTGTTTACAGGGAAGTGGTTCACCCCCCCCCACCCTTAGGCTAGAGAAACACCACACCATTATGGCTAAATGCTCCGGTTGTGGGAGATTCCACGGTATTTCTACGTCAGTAAAGCGGAGCAGCGGAAGTCCCACCTGCGAGCAGGAAGAGAGCCCCTCCGGTCACGGCGATGCGAGTCTTGGTGACCGGGTTGTTGTCCCCCACCTTGGTGCACTTCATGCCCACCACGCTGACGATGATGCCGATGAAGCCCAGCAGCACTGAGATCACCATGAGGGCTCGACAGGTCTGGATGTGGACTGGATAGAGAAGAGGAACAAAGGTGGAGGGAGTGTACCGATACCACAGAAGATAGGAAGCAAAGCGAGAGGGAGAAAGTGGAGAGGGAGAATATACTTTTTAGTCCATCCCTTGGAATAAAATGCGAATTTTAAGATATTAAAAGTGTTATTGGTGGGTGACAACATGTGGCATAAAGCTCATCCAGCACTCTCCCATTTTCCAGCAGGTTGACCTTTTGGTTTTCCAGAGGGGACTCAGTCAATCCTGGAAATCTTCCCCAAACAACTACGCCGAGGTTTTGTCTTTTCAAAAATCAAATGCGCCGCCCACAAGGCCCTCGGCACACACATAACTCAGTGGGAGCAACATATTTACACATTATTTACACACACACACGTGCAAATGCATGATATATACACACTCACACACAATATCTGTAGGTGGAATAGACACAGATGAATCACACAACTCTCTCTCACACACACACACACACATGGTGGAGGTGTAGGAGGGCCTGCTTTACATGTTCCACACAGTGGGATTAGTGTGTCTTTGTCACAAAGCGAGATTGTTTCCACGGGTCTGTCACCGGAGCGATCGGGCTTTGCTGCCTGTACCGTCGTCAGCGCGTTTGAACCGTACATCCCGGCTCTGATGGCCGACGAGGTCCATGTCTTTACCGTTGAGGTCCATGTCTTTACCACCAGATAACACGTGTAAGCAAGTGTTTGACGCGAAAAACAACAATGGAACATTTTGGCAGAAAACAGCTAATTTAAAGTCAAGAATTATTGGAGCAACTTTTTTAAGAGCTTTTCACAGGATCTCAGAGTCTTCTATGAGTAGAATATCAACTTTTCTTTTGTTTAGGTCATAAAAGCAAACAATCTGACCTGTTTGTCCAATGATTATCTCCAATGTCAAGACTTGAAAGTCGACCTGAATTAGAACAAAACGTAATGTGCCTTTATGTGTGAGAATGAGTCGCTTCAGAAAGAGCTGTGGGCAAGAACCTGAAGTCATCATTTGTCATTGTGACATAAATACACACAGAATCATTCATGGTGCAGCGGGGAAGTTGCATTTCAGAAGCTGATCTGAAGGGACTTAAGATGGGGTGGGATGGAACCATCTTTGAAGTCTGATTCATGGCTCCACAGCTCCTTTTGATGGTTTCTCTGGATGGTCTTCCACAGAGAGAGGCTTGACCTTCTGTTCTTTCATGTAGTCTTAAGCATTCCGCTTCTTTTTTTATTTTACTTCTGAGGACGTGAAGGGTTCAAGGCCGATGCTCTGACCCGCTTCAGTCGGTAACAAACCAGAAGGGCATTCGTGGGCCTTTGTGGTAAAGGAGAGGCTATAAGGAGGGGCGGGGGGGGCACTATGCCCTCTCTCTCTCTCTCTCTCTCTGTCCAGCGTCCGGGGTTGGCAGTGCCAGCCCCAAGCCTTCAATGAGTATGTGTTCCAGCTGGTGCGTTTATCTGTAAGCACTGTAAGGTTCTATTGTGAGGTCACTTGTTTTTTCCCCTCGTACACAACTAGGAAACTTTGACTCGTATCTGACAACCGCAGCTCTTTTCAAGTCCAATTTCACCTCCAGCAGATGCTCTGATTTGATGCATCTGCATCGGTAAACTGCTTTTACCTTAAGACTGTATAAACAAGGAGTGAGTCAAATGAAAAGGCTGTTGATGTTCTATAGTTTTCTTATTGTCAACACAAAAAGATGAGTGTGTTCTACATGTAGGTTTATCAAAGCCTGGTGCCAAAGAGCTCCATATCTGTCCAAAAACTATAATTCTGTTTTGCAAAATCAATCACAAACCCTGTAGCACTTGGTGACATTTTGCCTCACTAGAATAAACACTCACTCCGTAATCAGTTCTCCAATCGGTCCCACAAACACCTTCCTGCTGCCTCAAATGCTTGCTCAAGCAATATTTCCTCCTGTTTGAGAATGATGGGCTGAAAAATAGCTTTTCTGGTAAATGACTGCTTTTTTAAAATAGTGGTGTGTTTCTTTTTTGGGATTTACTACTTCAGTAGGAGCCAATAGGGAAGTCAGATTGTATTGGGAGGTGCAGACGGTTGGTTTTGCTCTTTTTATTGGGTGCGTGGACCATAACGATAATAATAACACACACCAGGATCACCCATGAATGACAAGTTGACTTGGATCTTGGGAAGTTGATGTAAAACTGGAAATATTACCAAAATGCCGTGTTGAATCTCATCAGCACAATTGGACTTTTCTATGAATACGGAACCGGAGATAAAGTTTTCTTTTTGTATGTTTCCGGTTCTGAAGAGCTGTCCTTTCAGCACCACCACCATCCTGCGCACTTTTCTGAAAGTATACATTTTTTAGAAAATCCTTCTGTCAACCTGAAAACATCAACTCCTTTTCTGAGCAAAACAAAACGCCAACGCTTATTTCCGCCACGGCTGCGCGAGCCGCATCAGCGGAGCGCCGCCACAGTCTGGTGAACAATTAAACTCTCCATCACATGCTGCCCCCGCTGCGAAGAGTAGCCGGCGAGGAGAACTCAAATCGGAACTTGCGTTGGATCAAACCCGACGCCGCCCCGGCGCACATGATCGAATGCTGATCCGCTCCATTTCATGGCCTGTGTGGACGACCCACCCCCCCCCCCTTTATTTAGCAGACCTTCTCCAGTGTTCTGTCTTCAGTCTGCTGGGTGTGGACAAACGGAACAATGTGCGCGTGTGGGGACGCCGGAGCACATTCTGAGAATATCTCTGGTGTCTTGGCTCAACACTGGCCTTTTCTTCTCCGAACAGCGCCTATTCATCGGCGCAGGACAATACGCCGCTCTTGTGGCCGCGATGGGCCACAGGAGTCGTCACACGACACGACGCCACAGAGGGTTGGTCTTTTTTTTTTTCCACCAAAATCTTTGCAAATCGCCTCGTTTTGTTGCTCCGAGGCAACAAAGCGTAAGCACAGAGAAAGAAAAATAACAATTGATTCACAAGAATGAGTTGTGACGCAAAGGCCCCCGCCCCTACTGGTCTCCCATCAGAATCTCTAATAGGATGATTCAAGCAGACAGCAGATGGACGGGTTCCTGTAATCTGCGTGCCATTAATTATGAGGACTGGGTGCTACTCACAAATCGGACATGACAGGTGGCTCATATCCTGAGCTAATTTATATCTGAACCTCGCATTCCTGACCCCCCCCCAACACACACACACACGCACACTCACACAAGCCTTGTAAATTAGCTTTCAAGTTTTTGATTGAATTTGATGACTTGATTTACACCTTCTGACCCAAAAGTGTCGCTGAGGCTTCGGGTTCTTTCCGTCTGTTTGTTGCTGCTGACTAACAGCTGCAAAAGCTGTTGAGATTAAAACACCAGGGATGTTGGTTCCTTTTGTCCTCCGGTAATTTGGGGGAAGACCAACTGAGGGTGTGTTTTTTCATTGGATCTTTTTATATTATTGTCATTGTGGCTAAAAGTTGTGTTACACGTGTTAAAGAAAGCAATGTGAAGTATGATTAAAAGAAGCAGATCTTGGTGATGCCTTACAAAAAGAAACCCAAGTTTCACCGGTCTTTTCCATCATCTAGTTTCCAGAACCCACTAAGATTTCTGCATATTCTGTACAAGTTATATTACATTTCAAATATAATGATACTGAAACTATGAGGCTCAGGACCACATTTGAACAGAAACCGTCTAGCAGAGATGATACTTACTGTCCAGCGAGAGCATGGAGTCAAAGATCTTGCACTGCACCTGTCCTGTGCTCTGCGAGGCGCAGCTCATCCACAGACCCTCGTACAGACCCACGGCGGTGATGATGGCGTCGCCGGCGTACGACGACTGCTTCCACTGGGGCAAAGAGGTGGTGGAGATGATGCCGATCCAGCCGCCTAAAGCCAGGAAGTAACCCAACAACTGGAGACCCGAGTTGGCCATCCTTTTTGTTCTTTGTCTCTTATCTCTTTTCCTCAAACTTCTGTCTGTCCCTTCCTATTTTCCGCCTCCAAGGATTGTTTGTCCTGGCGGTGACCCTCCCAGTGGCCCTTTTCTTTGATTAGTCCCCGTGGACACAACTGTTACGCTCCTGGCACTTGTTTCACTTCTCTTTACCTGGTCACACTGAGCGTCTACCTTCTGCCTCTCATCTGCGGAACTCCTCTTAACGTCTCTTAACTCTTTTCTTTTTTTTCTGTCTTTTCAGCGCTCCGCTTCAGTCGGGACGTCGAGTCGAATGTCTCCGCTCGGGGCTTTTCCTGTCTGGTTCCTTGGTGTCTCTAGGACTCGGGTGGAGGAGGGAGAAAAGCCTTTTCTGGTGGTCAGCGGCTCAGGTCATCAAGCATCGTCGCTGCGCTGCCTCACTCTCTGCATGGCTTCAACTGTTCCCTCTCGCTGTCCTTCTCTCTCTGTCCCGCTCGCTCACTTTGCCCACTCCCTCTACAAGCTTTCCATCTGCTCCCGGCTCGAGTGGCTCAATGAGGGGTAGCAAGAGAAACAAAAAAAAAAAGGGGTAGAAAGGGGAAAAAAACGTGAATACAAAAAGGCCTTAACAAGCTCACCACCAGGGGATGGGGCGAAGGGCCTCGTGCGTGATTGGTCTCCGCTGCGCAGTGGGAACGCCCACTGGGAGGGACTGGTGGGGAAAACAAACAGAGTGAGAGAAAGAGATGGAAAAAACAGCAAAATCACTCAAAAAATGTGTTGAAATCCCACTGCCTGTATTTATATAATTTAACCAAACCCTTCCAAACTGAACTTCGTCACGCTGCATGTTGCAAGTTCTCGGATGCGTTGATCCTTCAAAGGTTTCTCCTCCCCCCCCCGCTGGAGGTGTGGACGAGGTGGTGGTAAAAGTGCAGCAAATCCACGTAAATCAGCGTCCAAACAAAGCCTGGCTGAAAAGGACGTGTCACAGCCAGACAGGCGTTTGGTGAATTATGGGCCGCCGAGGCAACCCTCCCCTCCACATCACCATGGAGACCGCAACAAATGAAAAGAGGGAACGAGAGTGATGGCTCACCCGACCGTACATCCGTACGGGCTGCAAATGCAGACACACTCCGGCCATCGGCGCGTCCTTTGGAGAGCTTTCCCACAGTTCAGCTCAACTTCAAATCGACTCATCACATTAGCTTCAATTGCCTTCTAACTACATCATTCCATTCTGCCAATTAGACCGTCGACACACTCGGTCCTGGAGACACGGACGTTTTTCTCACATCTTTAAGAGGCATGTCTCACCCCCACCCTGCACACACACACACACACAGTCTTTACACACAACTTGTTCTTGCCTATATTCTCAAGGTTGGTCTCAACGGACGGAAATTTAGAAAAAGGTTTACTCACCTGACAATGAACAGATGTATGAAGCGGGACAATAAGAACCGTGTTGGTGGTCAAACTGTTTCTATCCACTTCAGGTTTTCCTCACTTGATTTTGTCCGTTTTTTCCTTTTCTCACCTCTTCCACCAATTGAACCATGAAGTTGATCCACCGTAACGGCACAAAAAACAACAGAACATGTGAACATGCATGTGACCGCACTTATCCGGCACCCAGCATGTCTTTGAAAACGTCTAACTACACAAACACGCACATTCTTTGGAATTCACACACACATACAGTCTAGTAACGGTTGAACGGGCCAAAGAAACCAAAGAAAATAAGAGAAGGTAGAACGGAGATTGAGTCTTTCCTTTGGTTATTTTCCTGATACGAAAGAGTATTTGCTCCCCGCTCGCTGGCGGACCTGATTGGCGCTCTCGGATTTGGACATTGATTTGCCTTCATGCTGTTAGACGCGGCAAGCTGCTCGGCTAACCGACTCTCTATTCACTTCATTCATTTCAAAACTTACTGTCTGCTTGCTAGCATGCTAATTCCAACATGCTTTAATGTTGCACTGGTTAGCCTACTGAAAGGAACAAGCTATTAGCTAATATGTCTGTTTGAACTGTATATCTATACAAAGCCTCAAACAACAGTAGAGGTATGGCTGACGCTTTGCCCGTCCTGCTCTGTGGATTTGAACGCGATCGTCCTTGGGTCCAAATCCCTGGTTTATTATCCGCCAAGCCCTTGTCATAGGTTTACACGCTCCTGGTGTGTGTACGTGTGTAGCGTCACTGCTCTGTGCTCAGGTTTGCAGGTTTGCAGTGTCTAATGAGGGGCTTGACTCACGGGGGTGAGTGGTGGTTTCGAGCACAGAGGTCAGCTGAGCACAAAAGGCGAGAAAAGATGAAAATGAGGCAGAGCAAGTGCTCTGCTGAGGTCAAGTGCGGTGGGCGCTGGGGGCGTTCTGATTTTGAAACATAACAACGTAGCGCCACCGGTGGGGTTACGGTGGTACAGGGCCAAGTGGAAATGTTTTGAGTGCCGAACACCTCACTGCCTGCCGGCTGAGAGCGGACATAGAACCTTCATGAGGAAGCATGTTTTCTGCTGTGCCCACCAAACCTTTATATGCACACTATTAGATTATGCACATACATTTATGTGTGGTTTGATCAGCCCTGTCGCACAATGCAGATAATCGTTTCACAACCTCCAACTCAACCTGGTACTGTTGGGTTCAGTTTAGGCCACTAAAAATAGTTTGTCGCAGTTGCAAAAAGATCACGGTCAATGCAAATCAGCATTTAGTTTGAATGAGAACTCATTCACTCGCTCATCAGATACCCACACCTTGTCCGTGGCTGTCGGCCTCTCATTCCAACTCACGAGAAACCCTTCAGCGTCCGAATGAGACGGACTACGCTTACAACAAACTCCAGCGAAAAAACCCATCCGATTCAGAAAGCACGGTGCGTCGGGTTTATCGAAAAGTGTCACTAGAGGGGAACCTAGAATGTCACACTGGGAAGTGTACTGAAACCGACTACTTGACAAGCTGGGGCTGAGATTGTGTTGAAAGGTCACACATTAGATCTTCACCCCATTCAGGAGTTTCACTTGTGAGGTAAAGACAATGGTAATGGTTGTTTGGGGAGGACGGGTCACAAGAGGTTTTTTGCTTTTTCTCCCTCTACTTCTCTGCTCGAGGTTACTCAAGTGTTAACCATCTTTCTGAAATAATTGTACAAAAGTGATAAGAAACTTGTATTGCCGATCATTTTACGGTTCTGACAAAGTCCAACAGTTTATGTGACTTTACCAAAAGGTCCCTGCGGTGTCACCCATGTGGATACGGCCCTTATCTCCTTCATTTGACTCTTGCCAAACAGGAAACTAGCAAATGAATTTAGCAGAGTCTCATACCCATGCACACACAATTAAGACATCAGGGGCCTATCAGATTATCTGTTGTTGTCAGGGTTACGGCGAGACCAATGTGGACATGTAAACAGTATTGGAGAAGGATTATGTAACACAACAGGCGGGTTGTGGATTAGTACTATTTGAAGAAACGGATAGGGATTATTCAGCGAGGCAGCTTCACTTTGATGTCACATGAGGGAAATTTGTATGCAGTCATGCATCTAGAAGATACTATACATCGCTCGGTGCACAAACATGTACGTAGATTTGCAGCACTGCCAGAGACCTTGTAAGGACCTCCAGTAATTACAGTACGTCAAGCCTTTCCTGTCGATGTTTTTCACCCTGGAGAGCCCACATTAGAAGGGGGCGCCTGAATGAAAATGAATCCCAACTAACTAACAGAAATGTATAATGTATGTCTGTGCCCCGAAGGAGAGCTCCTTCGGCCGGACTCAAGTGCCCCTGAAGAGACTGTTGGCTCTGGTCATAATGGAGAAGAACAGGACCCCCCCCCCCCGACCCCCTCCCCAATTACACTGCAGAATCAAGTGCTGTGTAGCACAAAAGAAAAAAACCCTGAGAATGAGGAGGAGAAAAACAGTTTGAGAGTTGAATCTTTGGGAAAGTTATTGTTGTTGACCGTCCTAATTGCTTTTGATTACGTAGTTTTGGACACTTTATTCTGAAAGCTGGCGCGAGAGGCTGGCGAGAGCACTTTCCGTGAACGCTCCGTGGCCCCCGTTCATCTAATGGCATCTAATGTCACGTCCCGCGACTTCTTTTCATCCCAGTGTTTCCTAAACTCGCGGTGGTCATTCCTGGCTTCAGTTCAGCCGTTGGGTCAGAACCTTCTGCTGATGGCAGTGGTGGAGCGTGTGACTGTCAGGGAGGACCCCCCTCCTTTCTGTTCCTCTCCAACCTGCTCATCGGCCTCCTCTCCTTTATCCCCTCCTTCTTCCCTTCCCTTCAGCTGGCCGGAGGATGCATGGTTCAGTGGGTGCCATCAGTCACTACCTCCCCCCATCGTCCCTCCCCACCTTTTACCTCTCTCCCTCTCCCCACATTTTCCAGACCCCTGCCGCACTAAGCTGAGCTTAAGAGTCAGCTGAGCTGATCAAAGAACCGTAGCCATGTAGTGGCTAACAAGAGGCGAGAGTTCCCAACGACACAGGACCTCCCAGGGGTTTCCACCGACATAGAGCTACTGCGACTAGAATGGATAGACGCGCTCCTTGCGCGGTTGCGTGAGAAGCTGCGTGGTAGACCGTGGCAGTCTGCTTTTCCGGTAAAGGTATTCATTCTTGCCGTGGACGGGCTCGGCCCCGCGGGGAGTTTTACCGGTCTGCCCCGGTGATTTTTGGCCTCCATTGTCTAGCATCCCCTTAGCGCGGGGAAGGCCCGGGTCTCGTTCCCAGCACTGCCCTTCCTCTCACCTCCACGCCCCACCCCCCTTCTCCATCACCCACCCTGCCCGTCACGTACACCCCGTCCAGTTTCTTTTGCATGTTCTGGCCCCTTATTATAACTACAATTAGCCAGAGCAGGATTTCCCTCCTCTTACTCCTCCCTTTGTTCCCCATTTCTTCTTTTGTCCTTCGTGACATTCTCTCCTTCTGTTTTCCTCCATACTGCTATGTGTTAGTCCAGCCGTAAACCATAATCTTCAGTAACAGTGTCTTTTAGCTTGCCTTGAGCCTATTTCTCGAAAAATTACTGAGTGTCAGCATTATATACAGTCAGTAAACATCTCATCTTTTTGCTAATACAAAAATGTAGAACAGCCAACAGATGATCATCACATTGATCCCTCTGGAAATCAAACAGAGGGGCGTTCTAAATGATGGCTATCGGTAGGACGCCCTGCTGACTTTGTGAAACAAATGTTTAGACTACAGGCGTTGGGTAAAAATTTAAATCAAATCAATTTCAGCAAACATCCCAGGTAACATTACATTACATTACAGGTCATTCAGCTGACGCTTTTGTCCAAAGCGACTTACATTACTTTATTAACCCATGGCTTTTTACATTTGTTTGCCCGGGGAGCAATTAGGGGTTAGGTGTCTTGCTCAGGGACACTTCGACATGGGGCAGCCGGGGCTCGAACCACCAACCTTGCAGTTCCCGACGTTTGGTTGGAAGGTTGATTTAATGCAAAACAATTAAGGTATCAAAATCACATAAAAACAGTGAATAACACTTTGACAATCTCATTTCTGTCACCCTCACAGGTAATTGAGTATAATAT